CTGAGGGGAATAGCTGATTTGATGCTTTCACTAAAAGCAGTATCCATAGCATGTCTCGTATCTTTTCTTTTAACGATGCAATACATATGTACAGAATTCATTAAGCTAAAATCTAAGCCTGTACTGGTGAAAACGCTTATTTTCCCCTGACTATCTGTCTGTCTCTAGAAGTCTAACCCATGGCAACTGCCTTTCCGCCGTTTTTCTACAGGTTGTTATTTTGAACTGATTTTTGGTATGTGACTTTTAACGGGCATTTTTATTTATTAAGAGAACCACGATAACATTTGCCGGTAGGGTAGGGTGCAATGCTCTCTATTAAGGCTTTTTTAAAAAAATGAATAACGCTTCTCCCTAAGCATCCTCTTATAAATTGTCACTTTTGCTGAAAATGAAGGAAAAGGCACAACTTGAAGCAAGATTGATATCATCAGCAGTCAATAATAGTTATTCAGCATGATTATCCGTGCGTTGTGAGTACTCGCAATACAATACATTACATATAATGTTATAATTTGGCATTTATGCAATTGTCTATTTGAAATTTGCTCGAATATTAATAATATATGTACTAAAGAGTAGTGAAAATTTCAGAATGCAGTGATGATTACTTTTCAAACTAGAAAACTTGCCTATGATTTTACATGACAACCCTCGTATATTATACTGCGCGGTGAGAAGATTTCATGTGCGTTTTGAGATTTGAATAATAATAGATTTCATAAAGAAAATGTAATTAATGTAAATTTAATAAATATGTGTTCTCGTAAAAATACATTTTGTCGACGCTTGGTCCTCGAACACAATCAATGAATGTACATTTTGTTCTTCATGTTGAATGCGTAATTGTAAAAGCAAAACTTAGCTCATCCTGTGTACTTAAATATCTGTACATCAAATACAGTTTAAAGTGAGTCATTCTATTCATTTTAAAGAAGGAAGATAATTCGACACCCGGCTGAATAAACCTAACAATGATTTAAATTCTTTTTATAGGATACTGCCTTTTCTTGGAAAAATGTGTGCATTGCGTTCTCATAAAGCCAGTTGAATATCTATTGTTATAACACAGTTTTGCATTGTGAATAAAAGATATTGTCGACATTGAAGTTTTTTTTGACCGGCACGAAGTTCTGAGCTGGTGTCTATAAACTTGTGGAGAAAAGATTTTTGCTCAACATGTGGAAGTGTTCTAGAACATTTTTTTTGCCGTGACAGAAATGAAGCAACTGACATATGAGAATTGTCTTCTGGTACTGTTGGTAATAATACATTTTTATGAGGTAAGTGTCTGTAAAAGTATTTTAAGACTTGGAAAATAACCTTTTGCACTGTAATTTGAGAGATGTATATCAATTTGTTACCCTAATTACGTACCTATTGAATGCATGCTACACTTATACAATTAAAATAAATTGTAAACAAGTAATTATCAAGATTTTAAATTCTTATTTACAATAATCATAGACCGCTTCCTTATATATAGAGAATATTGGATATCATAGGAACAACTTTCATTTCGTTGCTAGAGTGCAGTACATGTATCTCCCTTCCGTTTTGTTTCTTTCTTTTTAAGGGTTGCAGTGAAGTTTTCTTCTGCATTTCGTCTGCATGTCCTTTTAGCATTTTCTTTTGAAATAAATTGTTTATACATATTGTAAATTGCCATGGGAACCCATATACGGTTACTACATCCTAAGCAATTAAAAAAACGATATTTGCCTGGCTGATATGCCTGACATCACAGCACATATTACTGCGTATCTACACCCATTCACTTCCGAGTCATTCTACGACATTGCAAATAAACTCTTGGCAACTCTATTTTTTTTATTCAATAAACCACAACACTTTAAGTATTTAAATGGAAACACATTACATACATGTAATTATATATTATTTATGTTACAGTATACTATATTCAACCGATTTAATATTTTTTAACTTCTAATCAACTAATAAGGAAATTCCATTCATGACATTTAGGAACGGGGTCATACCAAGAAATTAATTTTAAATATGATATTTAAAAACCAAATTCAATTTGTGAATCAAAATTGGAAACACATTATTATATTACTCATCTGAAAGATAACCAACTAAAATAAAAAAACTAATTCATTTAAGGACAAAATATTCCCCTTGCAATTTTTTTCTCTCAAAAATAAGTCAGATTTCTTAGAATTTAAACACAAGCGATAAAAATCTTGAATACCAGCTGCAGGTTGTTAACCCACACGCGATATCCAATACTGTATCAGAATTGGGTATAAAACCTGTGTTTTTGTTGGTGTTATCAAGGAATACCCGTTTAATCGTCGAACAATGCAAGTATCGATAAGTAGAACTGTTAAACAAAGATTTTGATTGCGGTAAAGAATCTGGAATTATCCGACGGTGTAAAATTTAACAGATTTCTCATTGGGGCAGAAACTGAATTATTATGTGGTTATATTGTTTTAGGACACAATATTCATACTCTTAAAAATTCCGTTTAGTCCAGATGTGTCTTCTTCTTTGGTTACCCATAATTAAGTTCGGGCCAAGGTTAAACTTTTTTTTATCCCAAAATTTTGTCATTCTCCAAGGTCAAATGATAAAAATAATAGTACCACGTCAAAGGAAGGATCTTTTTGTAACGAATAGGTATTTAGAATTTGAAAACCCCAGCACTAACTAATAATGTGGTCAATGTTAATGTTCTATTTTTAAAAAAAAGTCACACTTCAAGGTAGAGTTTAATAAAAGTTAAATCTTGGTTCTAACTTTGTTGTTTGGTACTAGCGCATTCATATATTACATATGCATTCTTGTAACAAGTTCCTTCCTTAGATTGTTTGTATGTTGTTTAACATCCCTCTTGAGAATTTTTCACTCATATGGAGACGCCACCGTATGGCGGTGAAAGGCTTCAAATTTAGACCTATACTCGGCACTCAGGGTCATTGAGCAGTGAGGATTCTTTATCGTGCCAGCGCCTACCGTGACACGGGACCTAAGTTTTTAAGGTCATATCCAAAATACCCATGACTTTCACTTCTAGTGCCGAGCGCTTGGCGAAGGAACAGTCACTACCTTTGTTTACGTCTTAGGTATGACGCGGCGCCGCGAACGAGGATCGAACCCGGGCCTCCCGATCACGAAGCGAACGCTCTACCACTAGGCTACCGTGACCGGTAGTTCCTCGTAGTGACAATCGAATGATTCGAACAATTTCATGCCGAAAGTTTAATGTACAGTACAGGCAACGCGGATCCCGTATTTCCCGCGTCCCCGCCGCGGTATAATCACAACGCGGTATTTGGCCAGGAAGACAGGTAAACCGCGTTCCCTCCGCGGGAAATTCATCACTTACCTGTCCCCGCCGCGGTTAAATCATCGATCAATTATTGACAATTAGTATCGTAAACAAACGGGAGTTATCTCCCCGAATTGTAATTTGCCAATTTTCCTGTAACAAAAAAAAAAAAAAAAAAAAACAAACAAACAAAAAACAACAAAAAACGGTGTGTTTATTAATTAATTTTGCTATGAGTAGAATTTAAACTAAGAAAAAATAAGTTTATTTTTGTTTCTAAAATTACATATCAATATTTGAAATTGAATAGAAAATTTTATTTTTAAATTGTTACGTCTTTACAATGGTTAATTATTTTGTGTTATTAAGAATCTATCAAGAAACAAAATTAAATACTAGAAATTTTAATTTTTTTTTAAAATCTTCATATTATATGCAATCTGTAATAAATGTTGAACTCAGACTGTTTCGATAAACGATTTTCAGCATTCATTTGAAAAAAAGATGTACATCTTTTAAAAAATGTACAGCTTCATATTATTTATTAATTTGTTTATTAATTAATTTCGATTTATTATATATAAAATGTACAGGCTTTTTCTTAAAGTGTCAAATTACCGGAAAACATCCGATAACGAGCATTTGCAGTTACATGTAGTGGGCACGTGAACTTAAATTTTCTTTATCCAAGATATCAAGAAAAAAATTCTTTTCTTCTTTATTTCTCATCGTTTATGTTCTGTTCCCAAATTAAGAAAACTTTTCTTTAATTTATTTCCCTCATTTATATAAATATGCAGGCATTTTTCTCAAATTGTCAAATGACCGAAAAGCATTCGATGGCGATAGTTAACTTTGAGCACGTGAACTTTATATAAGAGATCAAGAAAAAATATCGTTTTTCACCTTCATATTAACATGTATTACTTTTTAAAACGTCTTTCTTTTTAATTTTAATATTTCTCGATTTTCCTTTTTAAAAGATAAGATAGGATGTGCAGGTGTAATGATAGACTTCACAGACGAAATTATAGTTTATATTAATAAATATTCAATGCAAAAATTCATATATTTTTGTTTTCTTTGACGAATTCTGTTTCTTTGTGTATTAAGTATTAGCCGCGATCATTTCCTGTGTATAGGGATTAGCAGTGCCTGAGCAGGAAACGACATGCCCTGGGGGTTTCACACCTGCCTTAGAGTATACCTTGGGTAACGCTCGCTGGATGTGCACATCGTTGTCTAGCCATTCAACAACACATTTGATTCATTGTTTCATTATTATTTCATCGATATCATTTTCAGATGCGATATTAGCCTTGGATTTTGTGTTAAATTATTGTTGCTTTTTTTTTTAAACGGAGTGTATAAAAAGAATAAAAGTTAAAAAAAACAACAAACTTTTATAACAAATTAATGAAGTATTTGATATTAATTAAATCAAATAATGATCCATTGCTATGTTATTTCGTGTCTGTTTATATCTGTACTACTCTGTTAGTAGAGAGAGAGAGAGAGAGAGAGAGAGAGAGAGAAGAAAAATATCACAATATTAAGGCACGTGCATGATCGTTTTTCCTCCTTTTTGATCAGTATATCAATTTCTTAAGTCTAGCGAATAAAACTACCGCTGATTCATCAGTTTATTGACCATTTGTGGATTTTGTCTAAGTTTTATTGTTATTTATCGAGAGACTTGTTTATGATCCACTTTCTTCTTTAGTTTAGCATATGTACATGACATGTAATTTGAATTACTTCCCTTTTTGTCGCCAGATTACAACGACAGATTTTGGTAGTAAAAAAAGTATTTTTGTTATAAAATTTGATTAAGAAAAATACAGTATATTAAAATTGTCGAATTATTGAAAATATTTATTTGAAACAAAAAATTTAAAAAGGATTCTGTCTGCAACAAAAACATTGAATTCTTTATTTCATGCATTTCAATCCATGAGCTACTCATGAAAAAAAACGGCTTCGTTTTACAATGTCGTAGGAAAACGCATACAGGTAATACACTCAGGTAACATCCTGTGTATATAGGTAGTATGTACACTAGACAGCGTCGTTCCCTCGGGGCTTCTCATCCGCTTCAAGGAAGCACCACTCCACACCAAACTTACCTGAGGAAAACCGAACGGTAACACAGACATGTGAAAACTTGAAGCTTGGCAACTTGCTGATTAAAATAAGTTAATTTCTGTGTTGTGTGTTAAAATATTTTAAGGGCCCATATTTGTGTTTGTGTTTTATTTGGACCGGAGAAATCTGAAATTTGTTTATGTTCATTGACATGATTTTAGTATTTTTCGAAAAGAGCAGAAAATAGAAATACATTAAAATACTAGCTATTGATATTAGTGATATTCTGAATAGAATGACCTGTGATTATTTTATTAGCAATAACCCCCCCCCCCCCCCAAAAAAAAAAAAAAAAAAAAAAAAACAAAAACAAAAAAAAATAAAAATAAAAATCGTCGATATTTAGTTCATAGTCTTACAGTGTAGCGCATAATAATGGAACAACGGTATTCTTACAATTACGCGTGTTTTGTTAAAATTTAATTGTAATTATGTATCACTATCTACATGTATCATCGTTTTTCATGCTATTATTTGTAACAGATATGTATACAGAAGTAACGGTAGTTTTCTAAATGAAACCAAATGACTGATATAATCTCACAGATAAATAAACACAGCTCTACATGTAACTGCAACAGTTACTGCACGAGCTAATTGTGAACACTGGATTACACCAGTGCATATAAAGAGAAGAGATATCATGGCATTCTTTAAATTTTAATTATACCTTTCTAGCAATTTGAAGATCATTTGGGGTGGCATTATTGATTTTGAAAATAAACTTTAAGTTAATATATTCGATAAATTATTCGACTTTATTTCATCCTTTACTGTACATGTATTACTGTTAACAGACGCGTTTGAGAATTAATTTTGAGTGACTATTGGTACAAAAAAAAGATGTTTTTAATTAAACAATTTGATAAAACTAAAAAAATGAATTTTTAAAGAATCCATGTAATGGTATAAATCTATAATATCAATGTGCTCGTACCCCCCCCCCCCCCTCATTTCGACACGATTAAAAATCGACAATACTTTACAGGTAAGAACATCTTAGCTGAAAAATAACGGTAGCTGGCCCCGCCGCGGTGTAAACACGGTCTCAGGTAGCACCGCGATCAAAACCCGCGACGGTGTAACGCGGAAAGGATTAATACACCGCGGAGGGGACGCGGTCTAATACGGGATCCGCGTTGCCTGTACTGTATTGCCACTCCAAATAGTAGATTGTCAAATAAGAAAATTTAGAACATCTTATTAGCTTTCAAATGTGACAATTTTCAATGAAAATTTAATGAGCAGAGTCCTCTTAGACAAAATATTGTTAAAAATGTAACATTTGAGGATTCCCTTTTCTCAAAAATTGATTAGGGTAGTTCAGTGATTGTTTAGCGAGGTATTCTACCAGAATTTTTTACTTTTCCGCCCTTATAAATTCTTAAATGATCGATCTTGCATTGTATTCAGTATCACATTTGCACCACCCAACAGAACTTTCCTGCCTCCATTGCGAAAGAGTTTCGCTAAGTTAAGTTATCGCGATATAAAGTATTGGTGACCCCCCCCCCCCTGTCCTATTAATTTCAAAAGAGATTTATCTAAAAGACTCCATATGTGCATCAAAATAAGTCTCTGTGATTCATATATATATATACATATATATATATATATATATATATATATATATATATATATATATATATATATATATACATATATATATGTATATCTAGGCCATTGAGCATTTAATCCTTTAATGTGGACTTAAACGAGGTCTGATTCTGAGGTAAACATGTCAAGGACAATTTGAACACAAAATTTTTAGTTGCCTTTAGTCATTTATACGTTTTGGCTTTCTTTTTAGATATCGTAATGGAAAATATCAAAATGTATATTACATGTATTATATACTCTTTTGAAGATTTTTGCACAATATCGGTTTCCAGTACATAAAGTAAGTTCATGCCCTGAAACGAAGACATCATGGAACAAAGCTGGGTTAAGGTTAAATTGTTCCACAGACCGTCACAGTAGACTCCAGTACCAGTGCATTCCAACACAGGACATTTCAGCCCTCGTTGAGTTTTGCTATGATCTTGACATGGGCTTTTATGAAAAAGGTAATGAATCATAGCTCAGGATTCTCAATCGTTAAAAATTTTACTGTGTTGCAGATCAAACGCGAAGCACAAAAATTTCGCGAACAAATTTGCAATTAAGACACTATTCGTTATGATAACAAAATAATACTTGCATATACTTGTTTAAATAAATCCCTTATTCGTTACACAAATGGTATGGTTGTAAATTTGTTGTGATTATTTGTTAGTTTTCTTGATCGAATTACCGAATTTCAAAAAAAAAAGAAACTTGAGAATAGTAAAATACTTTTAAGAGTTCTTTGAACATGTGGATAATTTTAAGCAATTTATTTAAATCAATGAAATGACTTCAGCACGATGTTATGTTTGACTTACAGGGCTCACATAACTCTAGAGCCCTGACTCTATAGAAAGAAATGATTAGTTTTTTAATAGTAATAATATTTGTTTTAATGCATCTACAAAATAACCGTTACCTGGAAGTGTGAAACAAATTATTTGTCTCTGTTCCTTCATGCCTAAAGTCCGGCAAGGATCTAGGAGATAATCAGGTATGCGAGGTGAAGCCCTAGTTATCAGGAATTCTACATTTTAGAACTGAAAGACGGTAGAATTGTTTGATTTAAATTTCAGCTAGAAAGAAGCTAAAGCTAAGTTAAGACCTAGAGTACTGTTAAACCATGAGGTTTTCTTAGCCCTCTAAGTATCTAATCAAATAGTGCTCATAAACCATGAGGTTTTTTTAGCACAGAAAAGACGAACTAACCATGAGGTTGTGTTCCCCAACCCAAGTGACGTAAACTGCTCGAACACGGGTTTAAATACCCTAGCAAGGTCAAAATAAAAACCAGTGGCTATCAAAGATTCTAAGCTTAGTTAAGCAATCAGAAAACAGCTACCAAAAGTACTACGGAAAGACTGCCAACATGGATGACACTTCCTGTAAAACATAAAAATGTAAAACATGTGGAATGTCAACTCATGTCCTAACTTATAAATGACAAATAATAAAGGGGGTTTATGTAAGTAACAACTGAAAACAAATGGTAAATAGAATTATCAGACTGAAATACCACTTGTAGTACTACTTGTAGATTATGAATTACGAAACGAAGGCTATAAAATGAAAATCTAAACCACTACATTTGAAATGCGACAAAAATATACTACTCTTCCTTTTCATTAAAATGAACATTATCTGGTCGCTGAACACTTGTCATTCACAACCCAATATGTGCTTAATAAAACTTATTATTTTTGGAGAATTTTACATTATGAAAGAAGTAGTTCATTTGCATTTAAAGTTAGGATACCGGCATGAATGATGTCACAGAAGTGTTGCAAAAATTATTCTTTGAATAACAAACTTTTCATAAAATGTAAATAGTACTAAGTGATCAATAGATTTGACATGAAAAGAGCAAAAAGAAATGTCTTTGAATGATTGCATTAATAAAATCTTTATGCAAATTCTTTTAACATAGCGTGTGTACATGTATACATATATTCTCTACGTAGGAAAATGCTTACACCTTTCAAGTTCTGGATTCTTACACCAAAGAAGCTGTGAGACGTTCACAGATGGTTGTCCTCCGCAGCCGTACTTTAGTAGCGACATGTTTCAATGTAAGAAAAACATATTGAACTTTCGTGGACATTAAATTTTGTTGTTTAGAAAGTAGCTCTAAAAGTGATCGTTTACAACAAAATAAATGAAATGTCATCCCCAACAAAATGTCCTGCTTTTAGAGTATAGTGTATATCAAATATTTAAAATATAATCCCATAACACTTACATGTATCTGAAGTTAATTAAAATGTAACTCATCTATCATATTTTCATTGATATTTATTCAAGACCCAAAGTGTTCGGAGATCGACGAGAAAAATAGATGTTACATAGCTGATATAGATTGCCAGTCAAGGAAATCAGTTAAAGGCCCTTTCACAATTGGCGCACGAGCAGAAGCGACAAAATATTCGTGCGACCGAATATTTTGTTTATGATCGTAAACTGTTGCCAAAATAATCGCATATGTAAAAAGTGTTCGTACGAAATTCGCACGATCTAAAGCGACTGTTGTGCAATAAATCTTGCGATATATCTTGCGTCTATATGCGACTGTTGTAGAATGAAAGCGAGTGTTGTAAGATAATGCGATAGGATTGCACGACTGATCAGGTAATCGGACGATTGAACGTGCGACAATACGACTGTTCGTGCGCTCATGCATTCCATAGTACGAATGTTCGTGCGAGTCTGAGGGCCGGGTATATATACCACCCGTTTCCGACGCTCTTCAGTTGACATAGCTAAGATGCTTATAGTTATACACGGTATAATATATACATGTTGCAAAGCATGGCAATTGAAGGTGATAAATCAAGCAATGGTAGTAAAACGTTGCAAGATTACATGAGACATGTTGAGCAACAGTCTCATGGTCGCAAAACACACGCAAAGACAGCTGCGATTAATCTTACGATCTTTAAAAATCGTGCATCAGTCTTATGAGTACATAAAACGTTGTAAAACGATCGTACTATTATTCGTGCGTTGAATTGCGATATTTTGGATCGCATTTGGTCGCGTCTGAATAGTGTGCATGTTGACTTTTTTGAGGAGACCTGATGCGACCACTAAAACACATGCAATGAATGCGAGACATCGTGCAACGTATGCGATAGCTCGTGCGAAGCTAAAATTTTCCCATCGCAAAGTGTTGTAAAGTGCTCGTGCGCCAATTGTGAAAGGGCCTTAAGCAATATAACAGGCAAGTCTCATAAATGCATTTCCTAAATTGAGGGTACTTAACACAAACAAAAAATGGATGCTTTGATCGGTATATTTTTTGACTGATTTTGAAATGAAATGACATAAATAATAAATCCCTGAAAAATAAAGAAACCGGAGGTTTACCTTTGTGCATAGGTATGGGACTTTGTTTTGCTTTCTATGTAACTCCATAAGAAATATTGCACAATTTTCTAACCTAATAGCAAAATCTGATACAACTTTACTTAGCAAACATATTTCAGGTGACCAATTTTAGTGTATTTATAAATCTATCGGAAATATTGCTGATTTATAAAAAAAAGTTTGGTTGTCTTTTTTATCCTTAATAAAAAAACAAGTTTACGTTTCCATATTTATATTATTTAAGATAAACTTCTAAAATTGATTACTGTTTCTTATCTTCGTGTTTCGTAATTATACTACAATCATTAAGCTTACATAATCACCTTGAAAAAAACGTTAAAGAAAGTAAATTTACATCAAATATATAATTTATTACAATGAGTGCTAATAATGAATTTAATTTGCATATTACAGCACGGTATTAACAGACTCATCAACTACTCTTTGGACTTATCCTGGTGTTTATAAAGGAAACACAACCACTACCTTTGAAAAGAAGAACTGCACATGCAGAAATTATTTCCATACAGACAATCCTTCGCAGATGAAAATAATAATTATATTATCAGCCATGCTATCTACTATGATGTTGATGAACATTTTAATTGTGTTTGTTTTTTGTATCAAAAAGAGAAAAATCTTTGAACGATGCAAAAGATACAAGCCAATTCCAAATAAAAACATTGAGATTGGATTGGATCCGAAAATCGAGTATTTTACAAGTAGGTTTAGTTAGATCTTTTTAAATTAGCTTTAAATTAAATACAAAGTACAGCATTTTATACTTTAAAGATTAACATTCAATTAGTATTTATATTTTCAATTCTCGATTCTGATGAGATGATATATTACTGACGTATTTATTAATTTGATAATATTCTCCATGTTACTATAATTCTAAAGCAAAGGTATCTTTCATCTTTTTGAAAACTGAGAGTTTTCGAAACAAGTTTCTTTTTTCCAGAGGTCTACCAGTTTAGAAATAACTTAAGGCTCAAATGTGGTAATGAAAGTGAGAAAGTTATCTGGAAGAAGAACGACGAAGAGATCAATGTAGAGGGTCATGTTAACAAATACAAAACAGATAAACATGGAAATTTATTCATTTTTGATGTTAAAATGGAAGACAAAGGAAGGTACCAATGCTTCGCACCTGAAGGTCATGCAGATACATATGCTGTCAATATAGGTATGCGTTCTATGCTAGTGTTTTACTTTTGTATGAAGACAAAATAACTGGAACTTTTTTTTATTTAATGATCTTAACGCTCTTGGCATTAGATATTATTTGTTATTTATTCTGGCTGTTGAAGAATTTCAGGGAAAAAAACCGTCAGTGACAAGAGCGTCTACTAAAATGTCGCGATGTAAATAGTTGTTTGTTACACCACGAGTACAAATCCTACTGTTGGACGTGAATATCTGTGGCTTTTCACCCCAAGCGAAGGTTAAAGTCTCAGTCGCAACCATAATGCTACCCCCTAGGCCCTATACATGCTATAGAGTAGGATAAAACACCTAGTATTCTGTAAATCAATACACATCTTAGAGAAAATTCACCAATTGTTTCTGACCATATACCTTCCCTTTAAGACATACACTTTTCTAAGGCTTACTGCTTTTTCGCTAAATTTCCTTTTCCAGTATCCACGTCTCTTAGTTTTGCATTTACAACTCTGTATATGATGAGTGTGAGAATAACACCTACTTGATGCACTGTTTAGCACTCTGTTAAACTACAAATATGTCCTACAATGAGATTCATCATTTTTCTACATTAAATTTTACGTCAAACAGGGAATATCTCATTTCTAACATAGAACTGCAAAATGATGACTTGAAATGAAACTGCTGGAATTCTTGTTTCATCAACTTGTTTGTCAATAATCTACTTCGTTTTAAAAATTGTTCATACGTAAAGCATGTTCTTCATAAAATTCCACTAACCAATAAAATTTTAATAAAACTTAAATTAGAAGAGAATTCTATAGCTAAAATATTTCTCATAAAAATATTTCATATTTTAGATAATAATTTATTCTTTTTGACATTTTGTAAAGTTTACATTATACACCTATTTACTGGCTATGAGGACAATAGCAAGTTTATCGTCCTCAAGACAGCAAACTATTTCCCTCGGCTGCGCCTCGGGAAATAGTTTGCTGTCGAGGAGGACGATAAAGTTGCTATTGTCCGAATAGTCAGTAAATAGGTGTTTTATTATACCGATGCTGACTTTACTTTTGTTACGTCAAAATATATACGTCACAATCCATATAAAATCAGAAGTCTTCCGAAATGAAAAGCGAGGGAAATCGAATGCTGCCGTTGAAAAGTTTGAGGGCTATTCACCATGGGCAAATAGCACAAAAACTATTTCACGACAGAGACTGTTTAGAAAAAAAAATAGCTTGATTATTCGACTTATTTTTAGATAGAAAAAATAAACAGAGGTATAATAATTATGAATTGTTTGATATGTTTATGATTTTACTGCAATATGGTACAAGAAAAATAATACTGCAGAAATCCAAACGCTGAAACTAAATGGCCCAATGGATATTTTGCAAGATGAAGATTTGTCTCGGAATGCAGAGAAATATGTGTGCATCATTTGGAATGGCGATAAAGATAGAGATGTAAATAGTATTGTTGAAATTACTGAAATATCACGGCCATCTATGTATCCTGGGGACGCTTCTGGACTTCAAGGTAAAGTGATTTCTGTTCAAGTTCTCTTTATAATCAATGAAGCGAGTTTTTTGAAATACAAATGCCCCATTTTGTCTCTCACGTTTAATAACCCTTTTATTCGTGAGAAGACTATCTCTTATTTTCATTCAACAAATAAATAGTCAGTAAAACTAATTGTATTTCCTATGAAATATCCCAATTGTATATACACAATACATTATTTTTATTCAACAGACCTACCTACAGACTTCTATAATGAATGTTAACTAAATTAAATTCTGATTAATATGTTCATAACTTTTACTCAATAGTTGCTTACATTTGAATGCTAAAAATGCAAAATTTCACTACTTAATTGATGTTGCAATATCATATGATTGAATTTTTATTTCTATATTTTGATACATTACAGGATTGTTCCCGGAGTCTAACAAACAGGCAGAATTGAAATTCCTTTTTCATTGTTGTGTTTTATTAAGTAAAAATTTTACCTTAAAATGGGGAGAAATTAATGAAAATCATTTAGATAGAATTAACCAATTGTTACAATCTACCCTTCGCTTAAATATCAACGATTATCGAGAATCAGCAGTGAAGCAAGAAACTCTTATTTCATCGGAAGGAAGCATTACATTCGCTTCTGAGGAGGCAAAAATTCAGACGTTTTGGACACTGTTGCAAAGGTGTCACGTTCCGAAACGCTTGATAGATTATGTTTTTGATAACAAACTTGCCAACCTTATTATTAGATTTCTTCGACTTGATGGACACAAATGTTCAGATAGTGAAACCTGCATAGTTTTATCGTCTTTACATGTTGAAAAATACTTAGAATTCCTCATTAGTAAATACTTCACCGGAAAAGATGAATCAGATATGGAAGAAAATTCTGTCCTCAAAAAGATAATAATTGATGGTAAGTAAGTTTCTTTCAAGGTTTTTAAGGAAAATATGTGATACCACCATTTATTTTATACGTTAACTTTTCTATGCGCTTAAATGTACAAAACTTAAATGATCAACGTTCAATTTTTTACCTAAAATATTATAAAGATATTTATATATATTTGACCTTCTTTAGAAATCACCTTGTTATTATCAGAAAAACAATGTTGATCTAAAAATCTTTATGAAAGAAATTGTCATGAAGTGTTATGCAACCTGTCTAATGTACAATGACATGAACAATAAGGGTACATGTAAAAGGACGTTTCATTTTGAAAAATAATGTTACATGTATATAATGTAAAAATTGCAAAACTTTAATTTCTATGTCTAAGATGGCGTCGAAGAGGTATTTACTTATACAA